GTATTATGTTAGAACCAATAATCTTCACCTGAGATTAGGGACACATTATACAGCCCAAGAAATAGTTCCTGCCCTGTAAACCTTACAGTCCAAATAAACAATATTAGACAAAGTGTGAAAGGAGAGAAACACAAAGGGGTAAAACAATTATATCAAGATTACAGAAAATATTGTTAGAGCCAGGAATAGAATGTAGGCCTCCTGGTTCCCAGTCCAGTGTGAAATCCACTAGCTCATGGAATTGTTATAATGGTGGAATACTCGGTGCATTTTAACTTTTCTAAAAGTGTTCAGTTTTCAGACATTTCCTCTATTATAGATGAAAGGGATATGCATTTCAAATGCTAATTCTAATTGCTGTATTAAAACCAGGACTGTAACTCATGAAGTAGGATTTTGAAGTGAGCATATTCTATGTGCAATATATTCAGACATAGGCAGGCAAAGTTCATTGGGTAGAAGTGACATTTTTTATTAGACCAACTGAGTATATCACATCTACTCAAAGAACCTCGCCTGCTTCTGTCCTTAGACCAACACAGCTGCAACCAAAAACCCAGCATACATTCAGACATTACTGTGAAGAGTATTAGGCACCATTGTAAGTGCTGTGCTATTAAAACCCTGGTTAATACTAAAGCCTCTCATCAGTTTGGTACCCCAATCTAAGTGCCTAAGAATTAATGTTCATAATTGGTTGTACCCTCCAAATGAAAAATCTATAAGCTTCTAGTCAACAGTTTCTTAAGATTCATGTGACTGGAGCCTTGATGGCAAGGTCAGAAGAGGAAATCTATTTTAGAATTTATTCTCAGTGTATGGTGATAGTTTTATGGAAAAGCAGTAACACACATGCTTTCTCTTTTATATATCTGTATATCTCTGTTCCTTTCCTTCCTATAGGACTTCCCCCTGAAATGTCTTTGTAGTAGTCAGTACTAGTTTGAAGAACTCATTAACTCTATTTTTCTAAGATGGGTTGAGATGTTTCAGTTATAATGTATTTGAACAGAATGCACAGTACTTAAAAGGGCAGGCACTGAATTTAGCTGTAGGATGCATAGCTGTTGTAGCAGTTCTGAAGTAGATTGAAGGATTTAGTTGGTCAGAAAGGGTTATAACAGACTGACTAGGTCTCTGAAGGACCTTGGCAGCTGGGGATGAAGAGTCTGGGGGAGAGTGGGGCACGTCTGTGAGATCTCTGGGGCTCCATCTGTGTGGAGTGTTCTCTGTATGAGAGAAAACAAAACTATTTTATTTTTTAAGATAGGTTTGACAGAGCTGCAAATAGTATTTGTATAATGGCTTATTCTGTTCTTTGTGGGATTTGCTCTATTTATAACATAAGTCTACTGAAAAATAAGTAAATTGAAGAAATTAACATATTTAAGCTCACCTCTTAATCTTATCCAGAGAACATCCAGTAAAGTTGCATTAATAGGGATACTTACAATTCACTCTGACACGGAATGGATTTTATGGTTAGGAAGTGTTTAAGCCTCTAGTTCCATAGCTGGCACAAGTTGAATTTTACACAAAGCCACTTTGCTTGGTTTCCTGAGAAGAAAAGATCTAGTTGTTCTGTTCCTAATTGCCTCCTAAGTAGGAGCATTTACATGTAGGTGTTAAACTGCTCCTCTACTTACCCCTTCCATTGCAGGAAACGTCTGGGAAGCAGCCACCTAAGGGTAGGGGTGAAATGGGGAGAAATAAAAATGCTTTTAAAACCATAATCAAACTTCTTCCACTATCTTTTCTCCTTCCAGATGTCGCTTATCTCTATGAATCCTTCAACATAAAACAAGATGCAACTCAAGAACCAGTAGGTGAGTAAAGCTAGTACTTCAAGACCCGGGAAGGGGAGGTGAGCTGCTGTGACTAAGAGCTTGATTCCTTCAAAACCTGTTACTTTCAGTGTGAAAGATGTGATGAGAATGTCTGTCTGTCACCGGGATCTCCTTTCCTTTCTTACTATAGAAGCTAATGCTGAAAATGAGTGCCATGTGACCAAAGATACCTCAAGGACAGAAAGAGGTGATGATGAGACCCAAATTACCTCATCACTTTCAGCCACTCAGTCTTGCTATGAGGAACCACAGCCATCTACTTCTACATCTAACCTCTTTAATGCTTCTTCTACCTCTCTTATTGAGTCTGCGTCTGTTGAGCAGGATAATCCTTCAACATCTGGTAAGGGTTATTCAGTGTTCGTCAGTTTGAAGTGTTTCTCAGCTTGGCACCCCTGGATGGTTGCTCTGTTGCTGTATCTGCCAATTAATGTCTTGCCGTACAGGATAAATATTATCAGTCTGAACTTGAACCAGATCAGTAGTTTGAGAGTTAATGGTACTCAAGAGGCAAAAGGTTTACTTCAAGCAAATAAGCCTTTTCATTTTTCAGTCTTCTTTGTTCATCATCCTGCCCAATCTCCCACCTGAACTGGAAAGTGAACTGACTGAAACTATATCAATTATTAAACAAAGCAAACCTTGAATAAATACTTGCATATGCGCCCACACTCTGTGGGGAACCATTTTGACTCTCACCATTGTTGTTTTGTTTTATTCGGAGACTTTAGAATAGAAATCATTATGGTTCCTTCAGAGCCTGACTTCCTATGTAATGCAGGTAGTCCAATAGCCCAGTGCAGTGTTATAGAGGAATTGGAGGGCAAAGATGGGTTTGAATAAAGGACAGTTATTAAGATGGGCTATCAAGTGAAAATCTACTGTCATGATGTTGTGCCAGTTTATCGAGTTGCATGATTATTTCAGATTTCCTCCTCACCTATAGTACACTCTCCATCTCTGTGTCTACTGTTGCACTGTGTTTTGTGAACTTAGGCCATCCCAGCTTGGAGAGTACCTTCTTCAAATTCTGCAGGACTTGATCACAATGCTGGCCCTCTTTCCTGTTACTGTTTTTTTTCAAATGCTGTTCAAAGTATGTTTTAAGCCTTGATGTATTCTTTATTTTAAGTGCAGGGGTAGACTGCCGTTGTGGAAATAATTGTAATATGCAAGTAGTAATGAAGAACTTAAGATTGCTACTTTGATCTCTTAGTGGTTTTGATTTTTATCAAATATAGTGTGCATAAATAAAACCACTCCATGAATAACAAGGAAAGTATACATGGAACATATTTTATAAATGGAGTATAAGCACTCTGGTATTTATGGACTTGATTGCAGGTACCAGCTTCTTGAATCCTTCAAATAGTCAGACACATTGAAAAAATAGAACCAAAATACATATTGTCTGATATGGATTGTTTCCATCACGTGAACTGGTGTGTGAGGTTTAATTTTTCTTTTTATGCTGTTTCCTCTTTGTGTACCTCTGTTAATGTTCTGTGCTTTCCTTTTGTAGGATCACAGTCTTCTTTCACTCCTGTGCCTGGTTTCTCCACCCTAGAACCTAAGTATCCAGGAGCATCACCTGATGGACATGGGCAGCTAGATGCAAATAGTGAAAGCTCCACCATCACTTCAGGTGTTTCTGATAAAGAGAAAACAGAAACTTGTACATTGGAACCCCAAGAGGTGGAGGAGGACTTGGAACCTGCTAAGAAGAAAATAAAAGGAGGCTAGTAGATTTCATAGTGCTGTAATATACTATTTAGGTTATATTTTAATCCTTTAAAATAATTTTTTAAAGGAAAAATCTACCATTGTGTAATATACCCAGATGCTTCCAGGTATATTGGTTAAAGTGAAACACAGGGATCTTAAATGATTTATTAGAGCTCATCAGACACTTCAGTGTAAGAGTCTGAAGTAAAAAGCAAGGCACACACTATACCTTCTGAAAGTTAGGCTGTTCTGCTGTAAAAATAATTTCCCTACTAATGTGAACTGATTTAAAAATGCAGTCGTACTAAACCTAAAAGGACTTTATTGGGTATATTTAAACTGGGTATGGACCTCTGATGTTCATGAAACTATTTTATATTGTAGTAATTGAGCGTTATAAAGCACATGTCCTGAGAACCACTGCAAATAATGCTTGTTGAAATCAGTAATTTTTTGTTCCTTGTGGTCTGTTCTGTGCTTTCTGTTATTCCATTCTTGACCCAATAACTCCAGTGCTTTTTGTCTTTTTAAAACTAAGCAGAAATCATAGTATGCTAAGTTAGGACCTTAGCCAATGTCTTGTTCACTGCCAAGCACTACTGATTGGCACAAGTTGGGAATCGAAGTGGGTATCTTTGGGAGCTTTTCTCAAAGTAAGAATAAATAGTCTTTGGAAACCATAGTGAAGTGTCTCGTTGTTATAACCTCAAAATGATTTGCCTCTGTAGATGAGGATGCTACTCCATATCTTCAGGTGACAGCTTCAAGTGAATGTATAATTAAGATTGGCTCAGAAGATGCAAAAACATCAAATGTGAAACCCGATAAAATGGAGGAAACACTCACTTGCATTATCTGCCAGGAATTGCTGCATGACTGTGTAAGGTATGTGTGGTTGGAAAGAAACACCTTGGATTATATGGGACTTAATAGAAGGAATAAGATATAGTTGTTTGGAAGTGAGTGTGTTTGGATGTTTTTTGGAAGCTTGAGGCTTTCTCTGCATTGTGCACATGCTGGGGGTCGAGACTAGAACTTTCCCACCATGCAGTACTGACTAGTTACTTTAACCTGGAATTTTTAAAGCCAATTGGTGGAAGTATTGTCAGTCTTGAAAGTCTTGAGCATAGACTCCATTCTGAGGCATGGTACAGGACTTAATGGATTGAGTCACTTAGGTATGGAAATCCCATGATTGATTAATTTTAGTTCACATCAGCAGTAGCCAGGTACATGACCACTGGATTTGTTTAATCAATGCCACTGTATTTGCCATGTTCTAGAACCTAGAAAATCCCAAGATTATCCAGTGATCTCCAGTAGAGTCTCAGTCACTATTGATTCAGTTTCTTTGAGTTGATTATCCTATATCATTAATGATCTCTCCAGTAGTACTGTTCCCATGGGAAATACTTACTAGGAAAGCACATGGGAAGACTGGTCTCTGTGGTTGTTCAAAGCTCTTCATGGTATTTTTTGATTATCCAAACAATTACCAGAAGTATTTTTGCATCGTTTGTATTTAAGCCAACCCTTTTCCAAGGACTTTGAGTCACGGATATTTCTTGTTGCTCTCACATTTGTTTCCAGCTTGCAGCCCTGCATGCACACCTTCTGTGCTGCCTGCTACTCAGGGTGGATGGAACGGTCGTCTCTCTGTCCAACTTGCCGTTGTCCAGTTGAACGAATTTGTAAAAACCATATATTGAACAACTTGGTTGAGGCCTATCTGATCCAGCATCCAGGCAAGTTGGAAAAGTGTGTGGAATGGACTCTCATGTGTGCATACATATAATGTATTTTGGATATTAATTGCAAACTAAGTCTACCAGCCAAGTGGGGGGAGGGTAGAAATGAAGAAAGTAAGCTTAGGAAAATCTGCTTTGCTAGTTTCTCTGATGCTGGTGTAAGAATGTAGGAGAACAAAAACTAACAAACAGCCAATTAGTATGTCAGAATAAAGTGTAAAACCCAATCATCTGGTTTATTGCATAACCCCTTACACTACTAGATCTGAAGGTGTGTTACAAGAGTTAGGGAATTTAGCTTTGCTACCTTCTTTTTGAGAGAGATGGGTCATCATTGATAGAAAGTACTGAGAGAATAGGCTGTTTTTTTTTTTCCAAAGTCTTCTCACTTTTGGCAATCTTGAATATAGATTTAATTGTGTATTAAATACTCCTTGAAAAATTTATCCTGACTTACTTGTCCAGTATTCCATACTGCCTTTGGAACTGGGAATAGAATTAAGGTCTCTTGGCTTCCATTAGAATAATGTCATGAATAAAGATACTAGGCAATAAAGAATGCAGTCAATTAATCACCAACACTGTGGATCTTGTCAAATTTGTGGAATGGCAATTTTGCTTTTGTGGAGTTGAATTCATGAGCAGGGTACACATTTAGAAAATCTTTCTTTTTCATGCTCAAATTGTGTTCTCTCTCAGATAAGTGTCGTAATGAAGAGGACATACGTAGCATGGATGCCCGAAACAAAATCACTCAAGACATGCTGCAGCCCAAGGTGCGAAGATCATTTTCAGATGAAGAAGGCAGTTCTGAGGATCTGCTGGAACTTTCAGATGTAGACAGTGAATCCTCAGATATCAGGTATATGCATTTTGCTTTTGTGTGGATTTAAATACCTGCAATATCAAACTAGGCCAGAGTCTTGCAAAACTGGTATTTAATCCTCATCTCATTTTGGAGCCCTGGCAGTATTTTCATGATCCACCTATCTGGTTTTAGTTCTTAATTTTAATTTTTGAGGAGCTTTATTTTTGGCTTACCACCCTGTCAGCATGGGGTAGGCCCACCCCTGGCTCCAGATGGAGCTCTTAATGCACCAGGTATTAGAGTTAGTCTTTACTTATTTTTAAATTCTGGATGACACTTTAAACTCTGGATTCTTGTTATATTTTTCAGTAGCACTATTATTTTGGGGGGTTTTTCCACCCTCTGACAATCCTGGCGTGCCTCCACCACCTCATAGCTTGACCACCATACATCTCCTCTTTTGGTTTTTCTCTTTTCCCTGCATGTGTATTTACTTAAGAATGAAATATTTTTTAATTGTTACTGAATTACTATAAACAATTGTGGCTCCTTAGACTAATTGACTTGCAAGGTGCTCACTTCACAGCAATGCTGAACTTTTAACTTTTCTTCTTTCAGTCAGCCATATATAGTGTGCAGACAGTGTCCAGGATATCGGCGACACTCTGTTCAGCCACCTCCTTGCCCAGGGCAGGAGGGGGAAGCAGAAGGATTGCAGGCACTGGGAGATGCACCATCCACATCTACTAATTTCCCTGCAGGTCAGTAAGATGGAAAACTTCTTAATGAAGTAGTATTGGGATGCTACAAAGAATGTAGACAGAGAAATTATGATGTGTGTTAAGAGGGAGTTCGGGAGCCTTGTCACAGTTTGTTTGTTCTGTGATAACTATTTTGTGTGTATTTTGTATTTATTTTGAAGCCTTAAAGCCAGTTTCCTTTTCCTTTCTGCATTGCCTCTGAATAAGTGGAATGATACGGCTCACACGTAAATCTTTTCAGCTCTGCAGATGTATGTGTGTGTCTGTCTGTATGACATTAACTAGCAATTATGGTCCCACATTAATGTGATCCATTGATCTGCTCCCCCTCCCGTTACCCCCATTATCTAGCTGTCCAAGAGTATGTGTGTCCATCTCAAGGAAGTCATGTGATATGCACATGCTGTTTTCAGCCAATGCCAGACCGAAGAGCAGAACGTGAACAGAATCCACACATTGCCCCTCAACAATGTGAGTAGAAGTTATTATCTGGGTGCAGATCTAAGGCTCTTCTATTACTTTTTTTTATTACTTTTGAAATCTCTAAGCCTTGACTAGATAAGGCTCTTACACTAATCATATGTCTATTTGTGAAAGATGTTCTAACAATGTCAGGTCAGTGCTGTTAAAGCCCAAAGAAGCATGATCTTATTTCTTAGGTGGTTGATCGGTTTCGCTTTTGGTTCAACTCTAGTCACGGTAATGTAAACTGTTTTAAAATATATTAGCAGCTTTCTACTGTAGCGTGGAAAAGCTTGAATCTATGTGGTGCATTAAAACATTCCTTAAAACCACTACCTGTGTCAGTTTAATTGCCCTGTGGATCAGTGTTGTTTGTCTTGTGTTAACCCCTAATGAATTTGGATCACTGTGCTGCTTTGTGATATTTTTCTGGCACTGCAGAGTGCATTGGCCCTGACATGGTTTCTCTTTGTGTTGCCAGGCACAGTTTGTCTACAACCGTTTTGTCACTTGTACTGGGGCTGCACTCGGATGGCATGTACTGGCTGCTTGGCACCATTCTGTGGTATGGTGGAAGGACTGGTTTCTTATAGACTCTAGCCACTTCATGTACAGTAACATCTTGCTTGCTTAAGACTTGGCAAGCTTATTTTACTATTTAAAAAATATGATATTTTATTTTGAGTTAGGCTTCAGCATAGTTACCTAGGAGGAAAGGGATCTATCACCTGGGCAAAAATAAAATAAAATAGTGTGTATGTTCATGTATATGTGTTTTTTTAGGGTATGTATATATGTATTAGCTTTGAGGGTATGTCCATGCCTCCAATATGGTGTAAATTGAAGGCTTGCCCTCAAGTAGCATGGGTCCTTCTGGTTTACATTAACTTGTTGGTGCACTATGCCAGAAGCACAGCAAGAAAGACTAGCAGTAAGACTGACTTCCAGAACAGGAGCAGGAAATTCAAACGGAAACCTTCTGGGAATCTTGGTCACAACTCGTCTCTCCTCCTTGCTTGACTTCTTAATTATGGATAATAAAGACAGGGAGTGCTATTCCTGCATGCCAGAAATAGATTTTTGGGCTCTGCATAGGTTTGTTTGGGGTTTTTTTGTTTTTAAACACCCTGCAGGTGGCAAGTGGCCAGGGGGAAACTTGGTCTGGGTCTAGCAGCCTAGCTTTCAGGGAAGGGGTAGGCTGTTGCCAGGAGAATAAGCTAAGAGGTGAACCTGGGTTTGGCCCTAGGTAGTGGCACAGACATACTCTGAGATGCTTTGAACACTTGTCCTCATGTCGCATCAGGCACTCTAAGTAGCACATTGTACATTTGAGAATTTTGCAACATTTTGACGTGGTTGGAAAACATAACTGAAAATAAGACTACCGATTGTCCCCTAATATTTTAAGACGGGACAGCTTTAACCCACTTAACAAACTTTTAGACTATGATTTTAAAATGGGTAAGAGTTATTATAATTACCCAGCTGAATATTTAATGAATATTTCTAAATAGCAGTGCTGATGCATGCTTATCAGCAACAGTAGCTCTTTTGGACTATAGGGGGAGATGTTGGGTACATAATAGCTCCTCTTGGATCAGTGCCTGAAGTTGTGAGGCTGAAGGATCACATGCTTTGATGTGTGTTTGAACAAACTAGTATTCTGTGTTCAATACATCTTACAGGAGAAAAAACTTCTTTAGCTATTGCAAACCAAAGAGAATAACTTTCTCTCTTTTTCTTTACAGAAATAAATCTTGGTGACAAGTGTTTAGATGGAGTCCTAAGCAACAACCACTATGAATCAGATATTCTAAAGGTATGTTTAGCATTCATTATAGGCTACATACAAGTATAAGGATGGGTAACTAAGATTGTTTCGGCAGTTTTTGAGGACACACAGTCCTGAAGGAGACCCTTTTTACAAATCTACAAAAAAAAAAAAAAAAAAAAAAGGAAATTCCAGACCCCTTTTGGACAAGTTACTTTTCACATAAAGCAGGAAACATGTTTTGTACTATATCGTTATCTCAGTTGTCTTTTACTATGTGAAATTCTTGCCTCATTAAAGCTGATGGGAATTTTGTCATTGACTCATGGGCTAGGATCTCACCTTCTTAGGAAGTTTTTAACATGCGTTTAACTTTGGTAGGACAACTTGCATGTTTAAAGCTAAGCATCTATAATAGTCTTAGCAAAAGAAGTTACGGTGAACACGCATTTCTAAATGTCTAAAAATCTGTATCCATACTGTAGTGGTACTGGTAATGATTTTAAAGAAATATCAGTAACTTTAATTATAAATATCAAGCGTTTCAAAATGCCATTTAGCTGACACCTTTTTCTCGTTACTTTTGAAATCTCTAAGCCTTGACTAGATAAATTTACACTGTACTTTGTTTCAGGATTACCTGGCATCCAGGGGTTTGACATGGAAAAACATGTTAAATGAAAGTCTATTAGCTCTTCAAAGAGGTGTCTTTTTGCTGCCAGGTAAACCTCATGTATACATTTGAATGATATGTAATTCAACAACCAGTATTTTGGAGTGGTTTCATACTGTTCTTGAAATTGTTCAGAGATTTCTACTAACTGTACAAATTGGCTTCCTCCCCAGATTACAGAATTACTGGAAATACAGTGCTTTGTTACAGTTGTGGTCTCCGTAGTTTTCGAGAGCTCGCCTACCAGTATAGGCAGAATATTCCTGCCGCTGAACTACCAGGTGAGGAGAACCTCATATGCCATGTGTGGGGAAAATTGGTTAGTACCATTTTTGAAAGAGGCTCATCTCTAGTTCTGACAAGAGATCCAACCACACAGATTCATTCCTTTGATGTAGTCCTGACTGAGGTTTTAAGTTAGCTGCCTTGCTTGCAAGAAATTAGGCATGTATGTGGCCTGCTTAGAGCAGATTTAGTGCCAAAGTCTCCCTGGAGTTATCTAGCCTTCAACATGGTTTGTTTAATTTTTTTTAAGTGTAATGACTTGCATGCTAAAAATTCAAAAGAGGAATTAAGCAAGCAAAAAAAAAAAATGTATTAATAAGAAATGCAAGTAAGATGTTGCATCTTTTTAACTGGCTACAAAAATTTGTTCCCAGCATGTATTCTACAATTCTTGGGCATTAGACTTTCCATATTCAGTATCTTACAAGCAACTGTATCTACTTTTTAATTCCTTTTTAGTTCCAATCTGCTGGGGACATAGAAGCCTTTCCATTAATCTACTTTTAACTCGGCTATGCTTTCCCACCTTTGTCCAAACAGTCCTTGTTGTTAGCAACAACTTCTTCACTCAGCGACCTGCTGAGAGCCCTCCTTCCACTGTTGTGATTTTGCTATATAACACAGGGCAGCCAGGCTGGCCTTGTGTGCTTTTTAAGTTCTCTGGGTAAAATGTTCTGGGGTTAGGGAGGCAAGCTGGACTACTCAGCCTTACATCTATTATAGCTGTGGGAAAAACTAGAAAAATTCAAATGAACTGTACATGTTTTTTTCTCAAGTCCTGTTTGCTAACGTATCTAAATTGTCACTGATGTCTGGTATCTTGATCTTATTTCTATTGAAGTGTATGGTTTCAATAGTGCAGGAACAAATCCTTCTATCAACTTGCAAGGGCCTTTA